CGATTTCGTCTTTTAGTTAATTTTTTTATTTAACGTTTTAATTATTCTAACAAAAATATTAACGTGAAAATTAAATACTTTACAGATACTCCCGTACTAAGCACAGTATAAATAAGTTTTTTTCTTGTAAATAACTTTCTTATCGTTTGCATTTTATGTCCTTGATGTTTGTTTAGGGCTTTTGTTCTAAAGTCTAAATATTGGTGCCTGCCTTTATGTCTATATTACCGCCCGCGCCGTAGAAACGAACGATCGCATTGTGATTAATGTTGTTATTTAACTATCTGTTATTTTATAACAATTATTTATAAATAACATAACGCAACCGTTACTACTTCTAAAAAATAACAGATATAAAATAACGACACGTAGAGATCGGCCGCTCTTGAAACGAAAAACGAAGTCGGCGCTCTGCATCACCACGAAATTCTATTCTGCTCGAAGCAATACCAAAAAACAACTAGTATTGTTGTGAACATACATTTAATATGGTTATATGTATATGTATATTCGACAAATTGTATAAAATATTATTTTTACCCTTATTCTACGGCTATGCCTAAAGAATTTAAGGTACGAAAAATACCATCAACATTATTATTCTTCTCAGAAAGATGGGTGATGCAAATAAACAGAACCATTAAAAAGAAGCAGGTTTTTTGAAACAGTTCATCATTCAGAAACAGCGGGCATAACGCCTGGCGGTGGAGATAACAGGAGTGGGAAAGGATCGGTCGATTGTCGATGGAGGCTCGCAACGGGTTGGAGAAGCAGTCATTTTAGATATATTGTTTTTCAACCTATTAGGAGCATAACAGGGCGGTGGTCGAGATAATCGGTGTGGGAAAAGAACGCTGCTGCATCGGTCGATTGTCGATGGAGGTTCGAAACAGGTTGGGGAATAACGCCATCAGTTGTTTTAGATACATTCTGTTTCAACCTGTTACGAGCATAACGGACGGAGTTCGAGATATTATGGCGCTGTATGTTTCAGTACTTACTTATTAAGTTTCAATATTTAAGTATTTATTTATTCTGAAAAATTTTCAGAATAATATTTTAAGATTTTTTAAAAATGTATACAGGGTGTTTTGAAAAATCTGGTCATTGATTAATCACGATCCTGCTTAAAGCCCTTGACGTAAAAAGCTAATTTTTGGAAAACGGATTGACTTTAGTGTGTAGAGGTTCGATAAGAAGGGATTTTTCGAAACTCGAATTCTAAGGGGGTGAAACTACTCTGAAATATAAGAATATTTTTTATTTAAAAACCGGTGAGTTTTTCAGAAAAACTCTTAAAACGCGTATATTTTATTATGTTGTTTTACATATTTTAAGATTTTTTAAAAATATATACAGGGTGTTTCATAAAATATGACCATTGAGTAATCACTATTCTGTTTAAACTGCTGGACGTTTAAAGCTGATTTTTTGCAAACGGATTGACTGTGGGGTTGAGGTTCGATAAGGAGGGGTTTCTCGAATCTCAAATTCTAACAGGGTGAAAACGCCCCTCAAATATTACAATATTTGTTATTTAAAAAACGGTTAGTCTTTCGGGAAAACGCCTGGACACGCATAATTTATTTTGTTTTTTTTTACATATTTTGAAATTTTTTAAAAAATGCTCGACGTTAGAAAGCTTATTTTTGACAAATGTGAGACAATTTTATCCAGTTTTTATGTTAATGGAAATTCTTGTTTTGCTTTATCATCACCATTAGAAATGATTAATTCGACGCGAACGAAGTCGCGGGTACACGCTAGTTTAAGTGTAAAATTAATTCGAACTCTAGTGTGTAGTTGGTTTACTTATGAAGAATATACTACACATTTTCTTATATTGCTATTTTTTGACCGCAAATGGTAAAATCATAACTAAGAGCTTCTCGCCCGTCCAGTGAGATGCACCCTGTACACTGCTACGCAATTCAGGATCTACGCGGATCGAGGGGCAGGGCGTAGGTAGATCGCAATGTGTAGGTATAGACGAGTGGCGGAATTTTGGCTTTTTTTATATCGCAATTTGTAAACAGCGCTTATTTGTAAATAACCACCGTTTTTAGAGAGGTATTTTAGATAACAATCGATATTTAGAAATGTTTTGACACCCTGGAAATACTACCACCGAGCACGTCATTGTTGCAACTTGCAACTGCGTTAATACGCCTGGCGATGACCGTCTCATACTCTTTCAGATATTTAGCAGTAAAATAAAGAAACCTGCTATTTTTAAGCTGTTATTTTAAGCTGCTTTTTATAAATAACTATAACAGTTTCAACTGTTATCTAAAAATAACAGTTTTGCCCATCACTAATTGTGATCCGATTCAATTCTCACGATTCTTTTTTACGGCTCATCGTCCAAACGTTATGGATCCGTGCTAACCACGATTCAATTGAACAAACCGGATTGCAAGCAATGAATTGAATCTCACGATTCATTTTTAATACTCGTTCAGATGAAAGACTCGGTCAATCTTTTCCCACCTCTACAACATATTCAATCAACGCGGATGTATATGGAGCAGCACATGTCATGTGAAACAGCACTTATACTGCCTTGAATAAAAAGTGAAAAAAAATTCTGGCATCTCTTGAATATGTCAGTACCTGCATTAGTCGTTAACTGACATTGTACGGCATCTCCAAAAAAGTAATATTAGATTATTCTTCTTATTTAATACTCCTAAGTAAATACCTACTATCTGACAATAACGGCCCATACACGCAAGGAACTTTCAAAAGATTTGATCCGCCGTGGTCTTTACCTCTCATTAATGTCTGTGCGTTAGTGAACTACCGCGGAGAAATATCGGATATGTGACAGTCTCGATTATTGTAAGTTCTAATCTGATGAAAGAACAGATATGCGCGTTTGTGAACACCAAAATATCTGTACCCTGAACGACCGGGTCGACGGATACGGAATGTCACTCTCTGGTACTTTTTGGACAAGTTTGGATATATTGGGGTCTTTCAAATGCTAGTTCTATGATTCAAATCTACTTCATCTACAATTCTATCTCAATCTACTTAAATATTTTTTACTACTTCTCTACAGGGTCTACACTACTCTTCGATTTATGTATTTTAAATACTTACGTCATCAATACTACGAACGATAAATTTTCCAAAAAAAATATTTTTGTATTTATTATTGAAAAAATTATCATATAATCTAAATAAGGTATTAATAAAATTATAGAAATATGTAAAATATGTATGTATGTATCAGCAAATATGTATGGCCACAGATAATATATTTTTAAGCGCAAACCTTCTTCAATTTGAGTTAATTTGGTGGAAATAACGTTGGAATCCAATTTACAGACCACTCTTGTTAAAATCTTTTAAATTAAATAATATTCAGAGAGTAACAGTTCTTGGCAGCACTAAGGTATGCCAAATTATTTTTTTTTCTAATAACAGTATCTTTTGGACATCAGAATAGCTGCAAATATCAGAATTTTGCAAATATACTGCATATATTTTATCTATTTTATGTTTCTGTTGCCTTTTATATATATATTTATCAATTTATTTCTTGTGTCACAGTTATACCAGCCTCTAATATAGACAAAAATTATGATGACATAAGTATGAATTGCTTAATAAAACAGGACGGTTTTATAGAAACAATCTATTGACGGTTTTTAATAAACCATTTCTTACTTCTTCAAGCCAAGGAACTATCACTAAACTATTCTGCATTTGCATTTGCCAGAAGAGTCGTACACAGTCGACCTTGACTGTGTACCTTTTGGGAGTAGTTTTAGGGAAAAAAAATGTAACACAGTGCTCGGCCAGCTTTTGGAGATTGGGTCCTTAGTTAAAAATATGATCCCTTTTTTTCTTAAAGTTGTTCGTAAAAAGAAACCAATTCGACTACTCGTAATTATGACATTTGCCGGAAATCCCAAAAAACCGAAAAATACTCACGAATAGTTGTTTTTTTTTTGGCAAAATATGGTCTTGATTATATTAGGTTAATATAAGAGAAAGTAAGAACTAATATAAGCTTGATAATAATCTTAATTATAATAGAACACCCTGTATATTTTAGGTGAATCAGATGAACAATTTAATTGTCTATCAAATAGCATTGTACTATTTTTTACTTATCTCTTCTTCTCTTAAAAGTTTTTGCAGAAAATGCATCTTCTTATAATTTCGACGTCATTTATCAATATACCCATGGAATATTGACATTTTATTTTTATTTTTAAAGATGTAACAAATTTTGAAAGAATACAGATACTAATATTGTCGATATAGTTCGCTTATTTGTTTAAAAAATAATTTGTTATTTAAAAAAAAATCTAAAATGTCAATTTTCCATGAGTATATATGGTATGTAAATTATAAGAAAATGCATTTTCTACGAAAACTTGACGAGATAGGTAAAAAATGATATAATACAATTTGATAGACAATTCAATTGTACATCTGATTCACGTAAATTGTACATGGTGTTCCATTTAAATTAAAGAAGTTATAGCCGTTTAAAGCTTGTAATTATTTAAAATAAAAATTTAGACACTCTGTATAAGGCAGTATTATTTTTATTATTGCAATACAAAATTTAGAAAAAAAAAATTAGTAGATCTTTATTTTAATTGTAGAAACTAAAAATGTAATAATATACAGGGTGTTCCATTTAATAAAATACAATTTTAATATTTCTTATTTATTTGGGACACTTGGATCTTGTAAAAATATTAAAAATATTTTTAAATTGTAGCTCTACGAACCCAAAATTTACAATTTGTAAAAATCTAATAGTTTGGCTTCGTGTCGTATGAGGTGAATAACTCTGTATATTAGAGAATTAAAAGTAAAGAAAGATTCCAAAAGATTTTGGTAATATTATTTTCTTCTTAAAGAAACTGAGTATATTCCGTCCTGTTTTTTCAAGCAAACATTTTCGAAAACATCGGAGACTACTCTCTGTCCTACTGTACTGTAGCATCCCTGTTTACTCACTTAGAAGAACTTACTCCTCCTTGTCCGTGCCGTCGGCTTCCCCCTTATCCTCTTTGTGCTCTTTTAGCTCTTCCATTTTCGCGTGGAGTTTCTCCACGTTCTCGCCCATGAATTCCATGGATTCCATGGTGTGGTTTTCGATATCTTCCAACACTTCCGTACCTTGCGTTACCTTGTTGTCGATGGTATCGCCTATATCGTCCATTTTGTTCCTTAAGCTGTCCAAGGCTTCTTCCTTTTTGGAGTCGATGTCCTTGATGGCTCCGTCAAGCTGAAAATATAATTAAATTAAAGTAATGAAATTTATTTTCTAAGTTATTGGCAATGTGATAAATTAAAAAATGAATATTTAAAACAGAAAAAAATAAAACAAATTGATTTTATCAGTGAGAATAAGGAAGCAGTTATTTATTATTAATGAATTACATATATAAAATCGATACCAAATAAATTTTTAGTTACGTCATCGAGGGCGCAATTATTAAATTCATTGTTGTCCAATCATGGACATATTCGGCGCCAAATACCGGGTACGTCTCAAAAGTGGCTCACCCCCTATAACTTTTTTATTTTTTCAGATAAAAAAACGAGATTTTGTATGTTAATATGTGACATATATTAGGATTTATTGACGTATTCAATTGTTTTTTGTCACTTCCTCTTTCACCGAAATGACTACAACTTTTGATTTTTAAATGGCACCCTCGTTATATTTTTACTTTATTCGATAGAAAATGGCACTCTAACTGAAATTAAATTTCTCGCTGGGGATTCAGGTGGCACCTCTGCTGTAAAAAATATCAAGTTGCCACATTTATTTATTTATTTCCTGACATTGTCATTCGTTTTGACACTTTAGTTTTGTATTACGAGTTTTCGGTTTAAGTGAATTGTGTTTTAATACTTTAAGCTTAAAATTTATTACTAGCAGACCTTGAAGTCGAAAATTGTTCTTTTTAGAACCGCTTGTAGTGCGAAGTGTACATGAAGCGGTTTAACAGCCGTTGCAAAAATCTCATCTCAACCTTATTAGCCCTCTCATCATCATCATCATCATCATCATTTTCAGCTTATTCAACCATTTTCAATTATGGTGTAGCCTCCCTCACATATTTAGATACTATCTTTGTAGTTGGGCTCATTGTTGTCTATTGTTGGCTATGGCGGCCCAAGTTATCCCTGCTATTTTCCTAATATCATGGTCCCATCTCAGGTTCGGTCTTCTTCTAGATCTCTTAATTCCTTGTGGGTACCATGCTGTAATTTTTGTGGTCCATCTGTTATCCGTCGTTCTTGACAGGTGTCCTGCCCATTGTCACATGAGGGATTTGACTCTGTGACATCTATTACCTGGGTGTTTTGTCGTATCCAATCTATTTATTTACGGTCCCTCTTGATTATTCCCAGCATATTTCGTTCCATTGAGCGTTGTGTGATTTTTGTTGTCTATATGTTATCCGTCCTTCTTGCCAGGTTTCCTGCCCATTTCTACTTTGACTCTGTGGATGACATCTATTACCTGGGTCGTTTGTCGTATCCATTCTATTTATTTACGCTCTCTCTTCGTTATTCCCGGCATATTTCGTTCCATATTGCTAGTTTCATTGAGGGCATCCCATCCGACTCTGTGGATGACATCTATTACCTGAGTCTTTTGTCGTATCCACTCTATTTATTTAGGTCTTTCTTGGTTATTCCCAGCATATTTCGTTCCATTGTTCGTTCCATTGAGGGCATCCGACTCTGTGGATGACATCTATTATCTGGGTCTTTTGTCGTATCCACTCTATTTATTTACGGTCTCTCTTGGTTATTCCCAGCATATTTTGTTCCATTGTTCATTCCATTGAGGGCATCCGACTCTGTGGATGACATCTATTATCTGGGTCTTTTGTCGTATCCACTCTATTTATTTACGGTCTCTCTTGGTTATTCCCAGCATATTTAGTTCCATTGTTCGTTCCATTGAGGGCATCCGACTCTGTGGATGACATCTATTACCTGGGTCTTTTGTTGTATCCACTCTATTTATTTACGGTCTCTTTTGGTTATTTCCAGCATATTTCGTTCCATTGTTCGTTCCATTGAGGGCATCCGACTCTGTGGATGACATCTATTACCTGGGTTTTTTGTCGTATCTACTCTATTTATTTACGGTCTCTCTTGGTTATTCACAGCATATTTCGTTCCATTGTTCGTTCCATTGAGGGCATCCGACTCTGTGGATGACATCTATTATCTGGTTTTTTTGTCGTATCCACTCTATTTATTTACGGTCTCTCTTGGTTATTCCCAGCATATTTCGTTCCATTGTTCGTTCCATTGAGGGTATCCGACTCTGTGGATGACATCTATTATCTGGGTCTTTTGTCGTATCCACTCTATTTATTTACGGTCTCTCTTGGTTATTCCCAGCATATTTAGTTCCATTGTTCGTTCCATTGAGGGCATCCGACTCTGTGGATGTCATCCATTACCTGGGTCTTTTGTCGTATCCACTCTATTTATTTACGGTCTCTCTTGGTTATTCCCAGCATATTTAGTTCCATTGTTCGTTCCATTGAGGGCATCCGACTCTGTGGATGACATCTATTATCTGGGTCTTTTGTCGTATCCACTCTATTTATTTACGGTCTCTCTTGGTTATTCCCAGCATATTTTGTTCCATTGTTCATTCCATTGAGGGCATCCGACTCTGTGGATGACATCTATTACCTGAGTCTTTTGTCGTATCCACTCTATTTATTTAGGTCTTTCTTGGTTATTCCCAGCATATTTCGTTCCATTGTTCGTTCCATTGAGGGCATCCGACTCTGTGGATGACATCTATTATCTGGGTCTTTTGTCGTATCCACTCTATTTATTTACGGTCTCTCTTGGTTATTCCCAGCATATTTTGTTCCATTGTTCATTCCATTGAGGGCATCCGACTCTGTGGATGACATCTATTATCTGGGTCTTTTGTCGTATCCACTCTATTTATTTACGGTCTCTCTTGGTTATTCCCAGCATATTTAGTTCCATTGTTCGTTCCATTGAGGGCATCCGACTCTGTGGATGACATCTATTACCTGGGTCTTTGTGTCGTATCCACTCTATTTATTTACGGTCTCTTTGGTTATTTCCAGCATATTTCGTTCCATTGTTCGTTCCATTGAGGGCATCCGACTCTGTGGATGACATCTATTACCTGGGTTTTTGTCGTATCTACTCTATTTATTTACGGTCTCTCTTGGTTATTCACAGCATATTTCGTTCCATTGTTCGTTCCATTGAGGGCATCCGACTCTGTGGATGACATCTATTATCTGGTTTTTTGTCGTATCCACTCTATTTATTTACGGTCTCTCTTGGTTATTCCCAGCATATTTCGTTCCATTGTTCGTTCCATTGAGGGTATCCGACTCTGTGGATGACATCTATTATCTGGGTCTTTTGTCGTATCCACTCTATTTATTTACGGTCTCTCTTGGTTATTCCCAGCATATTTAGTTCCATTGTTCGTTCCATTGAGGGCATCCGACTCTGTGGATGTCATCCATTACCTGGGTCTTTTGTCGTATCCACTCTATTTATTTACGGTCTCTCTTGGTTATTCCCAGCATATTTAGTTCCATTGTTCGTTCCATTGAGGGCATCCGACTCTGTGGATGACATCTATTATCTGGGTCTTTTGTCGTATCCACTCTATTTATTTACGGTCTCTCTTGGTTATTCCCAGCATATTTCGTTCCATTGTTCGTTCCATTGAGGGTATCCGACTCTGTGGATGACATCTATTATCTGGGTCTTTTGTCGTATCCACTCTATTTATTTACGGTCTCTCTTGGTTATTCCCAGCATATTTAGTTCCATTGTTCGTTCCATTGAGGGCATCCGACTCTGTGGATGTCATCCATTACCTGGGTCTTTTGTCGTATCCACTCTATTTATTTACGGTCTCTCTTGGTTATTCCCAGCATATTTAGTTCCATTGTTCGTTCCATTGAGGGCATCCGACTCTGTGGATGACATCAATTATCTGGGTCTTTTGTCGTATCCACTCTATTTATTTACGGTCTCTCTTGGTTATTCCCAGCACATTTCATTCCATTGTTCGTTCCATTGAGGGCATCCGACTCTGTGGCTGACATCTATTACCTGGGTTTTTTGTCGTATCTACTCTATTTATTTACGGTCTCTCTTGGTTATTCCCAGCATATTTCGTTCCATTGTTCGTTCCATTGAGGGCATCCGACTCTGTGGATGTCATCCATTACCTGGGTCTTTTGTCGTATCCACTCTATTTATTTACGGTCTCTCTTGGTTATTCCCAGCATATTTAGTTCCATTGTTCGTTCCATTGAGGGCATCCGACTCTGTGGATGACATCTATTATCTGGGTTTTTTGTCGTATCCACTCTATTTATTTACGGTCTCTCTTGGTTATTCCCAGCATATTTCATTCCATTGTTCGTTCCATTGAGGGCATCCGACTCTGTGGCTGACATCTATTACCTGGGTTTTTTGTCGTATCTACTCTATTTATTTACGGTCTCTCTTAGTTATTCCCAGCATATTTTGTTTCATTGAGCGTTGAGCGACCTGCAGTTTCCTTATATCTGTTTTAAGTGACCAGTTTTCGCATGCATATGTCATCACTGATAGTACCCATTGGTCGAATGTTTTTTCTTTAGATAGAGTGGCATTCTAGATTTGAATATGATTGAGTTTCTTCCATAAGTACTCCATGCCAACTTAATTCTTCTGTTGATTTCTGGTAGTAGAGATCCTGAGCTCTGTACTCTGTATTAGCCAAGTGCTGTTAAAGGAGTGAGTTTTGTTGATGTAAATGATAACTATTTATATATTTTTAATTATTAATTAATTATTTTTTTTTGTTTCCTAAAATATTTTGATTAAAATAAAATATTCAAATTCACACTGTGAATCAAGCTGTGCCGGTCAACACTGTACCGGTCAAGCTTCCTCACGCGACTAAAAGTTTATTGGTATGATCTCGTGTTTTAACTAGTTTACATTTTTTAACAAAATATGTGGACAAAAAAGTACGATGTAATTAAAATGCTTCTAAAATCTTTGTCTCAGTATTTTCATTATTTAGGCTAAAAATTGTGATCAATGTGAGCATTTTTTTACTTTTATTGAGCAATTATAAGTGATTTGTTGTATTTTCATAACATTGACATTATTTAAAAAATAGGAAAAAACGTTTTTCCCCTTATATAATTTTATAATTTAAATATCTAATACTCAAGTTATCATACAGAGCAAGTTAAAGTTTGCCTTGTTGCTTATGGCCTATTGATTTTGAAAATAACAGGTATTGAAATTATTATGGATTTCTTTTAGGAAAACTTGCTTAAATAATTTAACAGTTTCTATGTTGAGGAGAAAATCATGTAATTGATTTTGTATGTAGCGTAAAAACTTTGTTGTATAAATATACTTTTTTTAGAATTCAGTGAATATAGATTATTGAATTCTACTGAAATTATTAAAAGAACTTCACATTTTTTATCCATGACGTGTATATTTTCTAAATAAATTATGTCTAGCATTTTTTAAACGTTTATATTGATATTTGTTAAATGCAATCATGAAAAACTGTTAATTAGGTTACTATTATATTATTTAATATTATTAATTATATTATGTGTATAAAACTATGTACCATTTTAGAAATAAAGGATTTTGATTTGATTTAATTTTGATTTACTTTTTTTGTATTATAATGACAGACACAACTAACTATCGATGTCTTAGTTGAGTTTTTACTGATCTTTACTAAACTTACGTCATCTTCTATGGATCGGACTGTTTCGAAAAATGGCGATGTGCCGGACTGGAAGGCCTCTCTGGCATGATCACTTTCTGATACCAGAACAGTTTCGGCGTCTGACAGTGCTTCTGAAGCTGAAGCCACAGCGTCGTCTTTGGAAGAGCTGAAACAATAAAATACAAGAAAATGTGTCTCATATATTGCACAGTTATGCATACCACTTGACAGAATGTATTCATTACAAAATGCTCGTTGTTATGTCAATTAATCCTAAACTTTTAGTTTTATTTTATTATTGTGATCTTAAAGAAGTCTAACAAAAAAATACAAGTAAACGCGTCTTATATGTTGCACAGTTATGAAAAAAACTGAGACCAAATTTCTGAATTTTTATTATTATTGTGATCAAAAAGAAGTCTATTTATTTAACATTAAGGCTCACCTTATATGATTTTTGGTATCTTCTACAGCTTCAGCTGCTTTAGACGAAGTGACGTGGAACACATCTCCAATCTTCTGCGTTACGGATCCTACAGTGTCTTCCGCCGTATTTATTGCAGTCTGTACTGTTTCTTTGACTGTATCTACGCCACTGGCAATTCCATCTTTTACAGCTTCTGTCGTATCTAAATTTACACAAAAGAAACAAAAATAAAACAATTTTTTTTATTATAAATATGCAGTTTATGAAAGTATAGTCAGTAGTATAGTCAACTTTCAAAAATCACAAAAAATTATAAATATAAAGGAGTCGAAGGATTTAGTGCATAATTTTAAAATATAGGAGAGAGCTGCCTACATGAAACCACTTTTAAAATATCTACATGTATTGAGTAACCGAATAAAATCTTCCAATTAAAATTCATATTTATACACACAAAAAAGAATATTCTTATTTTGAACATTTAATACTCAAATAGAATAAATCTTAACTTTGTATATACGCAAAGAAATATATATTTATACTAATTATTTAGAATGATAAATTTAATGCTGCAATATTCTCCTAATGAATGGTTTATTTTATAAAACAAGAATAAAAATTTTAGATTTAAATATTCAGTATTACTATATCTAAGACACAAACGATTGTTGTTTTAAGATATCAAATCATTTAAAGCGAAAATAAACTAATTCTACAATAAAAATTGCATTTACTCTGTTTGAAATGCCTCGAATTTAAAGTTATATAATGGTTTTCTTGATTAAAGTATATTCAATCTGCATTTGAGTAACTTATTTCTCAAAATGAATATTAGTAAAAGCCTTGTATATGATATAAACAAGGGTAAAAGTTTGTTTTAAGATACGAACGAATTGAAGCGACAAAAGTTTTTACTTAGTCTGAATAAATATATTTTTAAATTTGAGACTTTTCAATTTTCCGAACAATTTTCTTTTTGTTTCATTTGAGTAAAATAAAATTCTTAAAGTAAGGCAAAAATATCTCTGTTAAAAGTTTATTTTTAGTATGTACAGCATAAACATTGGTTTGGTTTGGTCATTTTTCAAGGTATTTGCGACACTGAGGATGACATGTCACATGATGTGGATCGAACTTCCCAGGTTCGAGTCCAATATTCCATTACTTTATTCCATGGCTCGGTATTATGTTGCAGCTATGCAATTTCTTCTTTAAATGTATCTAAAAATGATTGCTTTCTGTTAATTTCAACTAAATTTTACTATTTTAATGCTATACCTTCTAAATTATCTTTTTTTTGTTTCGGGACAATACCAAAAGTCTTCATCATCTGGCCTTTTTGTTTGTTTTTGGGTATCACCAGATCTAAATGAAATATTTCTGCAGTGATTCACTAGTTTGCCCTTAGCCATAACTGTCTTGTGAAATGGGCAACATGCTCTTTTCACAGGGGGACAGTAATACACTCCCATTGGCTTTGTGGGAAAAGGAGCACTATTTTAGCAGCAAAAGAATTGTACTCATCTTGTTGAAATCGACTAAAAAATAATTATTTTTAGTTTTTGCTTATGTAAATTCAAAAGCGAGTTCAGCTGAGTAAAAAGAGAATTAATTTTTTTATTTATTATAGTATTTTACTTACTTTTTAACTACTAACTTTTTTTCCATAATTAATAACTAATCGCACCACGGCACCAAACGCAACAGCAACACTCATGCAACACCCCTACCGCGTCCCATCAAGCAACTGTTCAACTCAAAACTCAACTATAAAATACCGATTACCGGCCGCCTGAAGCAGGTTTAGAAAACAAGTGATGGGAAAGGGTGAAATGAAATTTGCTAATTCTCAAGACAAAATTAATAAAAAAAATAATTTTAATCCTAGTAAATATGTTTATTTTTTAATTGGTTTGTGCAGCAAAATATATTTAAACAGAAACATAGTAGTTTCAAAATGTCTAAAATATTTTTATTTTAAGAAAAACTTTGTTTTAATTCCTTGGTTATTTTTATTTGAATAATATTGTTATCTTATACTAAACAATTAAAGCAAAGATTTGTTTTAAATGAAATATATAAGATTCTTAAAATAATATTTTATTTTTCTTGATCGAAACCTAATAAAGTTCATTGAAATAGACTGGTATTTTAAATAGAAAATGTAACTTATTTTGGAAGCAGTATATTTAAAACTTTAATTAATACTATCAGAGTTTCTAAACAAAAATATTATTTTAAATTAAGAAAATATAATGAAAAATTATTATTTTGCTTTTAAGCAAATACATATATTTAAACAAAACATATATACTTGACAAAAGTATCCGTTTATTTAAATTTAGTAAAAAATTTTGAGAAAATATGTTTACATCAATGAAGTATTTCTTTTTTTGTGTGTAGTTTTGCAAATGCAGAAATGCAATGAATAACATTTTTCTAAGAATAATTTTAATACTAAAATAATTTGTTTAAAGGAGTAGTGCAAAAAATTCAAGTCTGGACGGCAAATGTGGACTCCTGAACTTTGATACTGCCAAGGCAACACGAATCAAAATAATATCAGTAAATAAATAAGTAAGCTTCTAGAAGTGGCGGTGCGAGTGACAAAATTAAAAAACTTTGGCTTCTCGATTACTAAAAATTAAAATTCTTGCTTTATCCACAACGAAGTTACAGGGTGGTCAAAAGTGTCGTGAGTCAGTCGCGTCGAGAAAAGGATAGGCTCGATTTTTTTATCCCACTGTCATGCTTCTTAATAAGAAATATCTAAAATGAGAATGCAATGCATTTCAACTGCTTAATCAATTAAGTTCTCATATATTATTAGAAACATATTATTCTAATCGAACTTATTCATATGTAAATAAAGGACGAGGACTAAAAGCGAGAGTTTAGTCTTTGTCATTGTAGTAGTACGTTTGGTACTCATGTGCGATTTCTGCGTTTTGTTGATGGGGATGAATCTCCAAAACCGGTTTTCAGATGCCTGTTTTCTTCAGTCTGATGAACTTAAAGCAGAAACTAGCATACTGGTAGGAGTTAAGGCCTTTTTACGCTTCTGTATACTATTTTTATTTCATATATGTAAATGTTGGTAACGTACAAATATCGTATCTTAATTATTATTCCCTGTATGTAATATGTATCTTTAATTTATTTCTAAAATAACACCACATCACAACATAATTTTTAGTAAAAAAAAACAAAGTATTTCATCTATATATTTTAACGCTTTTTGGTCTTACCTCATTATGTACCTGCTATTAGGTAGTAATCGTTAATTTTAAACTGACAGTATGTCTATGATTAAATACACGTGTTTGAACGAAAAATCCGACGCGTTCTGTTGTACTAATATAGTTAAATTTTGTAATTTTAAACAGTTTTTTTCTTAATCCTTTTTGTTATTCATTTTTATCGATTTAAAAATAGGAAATAACTAATAGTTTAGTAGCTAACTTTTTTATTTATTTATTAAAATATGTTTTAATAAAATAATATAACTTAATTTTAAAATCAAATGATTAGAATAATAATTGAAATATAATATACCTATTTTTAAAATAATAAAATCATAATATTGTTAAGGTGTATGTGGCGCTAAACTGTATTGCTGGTTGCCTACGTATCAAGAAACATGGCGAATTCACCAGAAAGTGAAATTCGTTTTTGTTGAAGCGCCATCTCTTAGCTAAGTGCAAAAGCGAATCGGGCAGCGGTGGAATTGTCCAGTAGGAAGATGGTACGAAGGGTGGAACGCTCCCTGAGAATTTTAGAAGGTTCGAGAAACAATCAGTAGAGTATATAAGCCCGCGTAATAGGCAACTCAAATACGTTTAATTTACCTATACCCCGGCCTCCCCATGAGAGCAATGAGAGAATTTATGTCCCAGTATTGAAGGAGGACAGAAAATCGAGTCGAATGGTTTCAAGATATAGGTTCATCCTTGTTTAGTCAAACCTCCTACCACACAAGGACAGACTTATGTAGGAAATGCATTGAAATTCTATAGCCATCCTTTAACATCGGGACAGGAATTTAAGCGGTACCCTCCGTATAGGTAATTTACTGGAACAGTTGGAAGTTTGATAATACCGCGTTTTAAATTGTGAATTAATTGGCGAAGGTGCCAGAACCGTTAGAGTAATAATAATTGCATAAATTGTGTTGTAAATAGTATAAGTTGTGTGTACAGAGTGAGAAAAATAAATTCGTTAAGTATTTTATCGTGAGTTTAAATTAGTGGATCCACGGAATCCGTAACAATTTTTTGTTATATGACATATATTTTGTTCTATATTTTATAGAAGTAACTAATAATAAATAATAATAATTAATCAGTAAAATTGCTTAAAGACATGAATATCCGATTTTCTTTCCAAAGTTTTTAGCGTTTTAATGGCAATATTCAAAGAAATTCTCATCAGAATATAATTATTTAAATTTATATTCAACGGCAATGAATAAGTTTTCTAACAAGTATATTTTTAAATAACGCTTAGTTTATAGAGGGTGAGTCTTAAATAAGTGCAAATATTTTTAGAGATAGTATATTTCGACCCCAGATAAGGTTTTTTTCGCGAACAAAAATTTTTAGCTTTTAGTTAAAAAAACATAATTTATTGATAATATGGCAACATAGGTAGTAGATTAATTTTACAAGAAAGAAAACAAAATAAAAGCCAAAAAATTTTTTTTTGAAATTATTGAAGTAGAATAACTCGGTTATTTTGGACTTATTTGAAAAACGGTAAAGAGAATATATGTTTCTTTTATCGAGCTCTACCAGCCCTGAAAATAATTGCACTTATTTAAGACTCACCCTGTATAGTACCGCTAGTTTATAGAATATTTATCTCTCTTGCATTTGCTTATCGCTCAATCGCATTTAAAACAAAAGGCCACTCTTTGTATGTTTCTAAAAGAGTTGTTTAGAAAACCAAGAAGGACATTATTGACTTTAATCAAAAACCGTTGGTTACATTTGCAATCGTTGACATTTCCACAAGTCGATATTTTATGTTAATCAGTCGAATGTAGGACAGTGGAAATGTTTTTTATTGTTTAGGTTTAGAAAGGTCTGATTTAACGCTATTTTCAACACAGCGATATAGCAGTGACTCATTTTTTTTGTAAACGACATGTTTTAAGCCTTGGCATAGCGGACATTGATTCATGAAATGTTAGATTGCCAGTTTGCTAACTGAAATATACGTATGTGGTTTATTTTATTGTTTTATGATCGATTTTTATAAAAGGAATATACGAAAACTCATAACGTGTTATGATAGGATCTGTATTTTGTTTTAAATTTGATAAATTTAAAAATGCGAAAGAACAATTCGAAACATGAATATCTTGTAGTTTTGTTGTGATATACGTGTAATTTGTGATGAACATTGTTAAGTAATTTTCTTTTATTTTCTAACTTATTAAAGCTTTATTTAAAATATGTTTAGAAAGGAATATAATTTAATTCTAAAATCAAGTTATTAGTATAATATTTGAAATATATGTACTTATTTTTAAAATAATAAAAAAATCATAACTTTCATATTAATTAGTAGTAATAAAATAAAAAAATCATAACTTTCATATTAACCAAACATTTTGAAATTAAACAATATGGAATTAGGACCAGAGTGGAAAATGTGAATACTATATAAATTGACATTTATGTCTGATCTAACGCTATTTTCAACACACAACGATACAGCAGTGGCTCATTTTTATTTGTAACGGACAACTTTTAAGCTTTGACATTGTGGACATTGATTGATGAGATGGTAGATTGCCAGTTTGCTAACTGAAATATACGTATGTGCTTTATTTTATTGTTTTATGATCGATTTTTTTTAAAAGAATATACAAAAACACATAACATGTTATGATATGATCTATATTTTGTTTTAAATTCAGTAGATTTAAAAATGTGAAATAACAATTCGAAATATGAATGAAACTTTTGTAGTTTTGTTGTGATATACGTGTGATGCGTTATGAACATTGTTAAATATTTTTCTTTTCATTTATTTAAAATATGTTTAGAAGAGAATATAATCTAATTCTAAAATCAAACTATTAGCATAACAATTGAAATAGATATACCTATTTTCAAAATAATAAACAAATTCATAACTTGTTGTAATATGATACACAGTTTGTTTTATATTTTATACAAATAAAAAACAGAGAAAACATAATACGGTGTTGTATGATGCACATTTTGTTTTATACGTTATGGAACTAAGTATTTTGAAATGAAACTATATGAAGTTACGTCAGAATGGAAAATGTAAATGCATATATAAATTGTTATTACATTTTCTAGGTTGGAAATATGTTAAAAATCGTTATTATTACAAAATATCAGTTATCAATTTATTAACTATGACTCTACCTCGCTACACGAACGCTTAAGACACTAACGTGTGTTACATCATCAATCTGGACATAGGAAATCCCATGTAAAATAATGAATAAGTTTTCCCATTTTATTTTACAGAATTTTTTTTAAAGAACTCCTTAAAATGAAGCAAACTGTTCAATTTGAATGGTTTATACGAATTCGTTCTTGAGTTATGAGAGATACAATAATGTGTCTGATGAATCAAACATAACAATCACAAGTTATGACAATTCTTTTACGATTTTTTTCTACAGAGATCTGTCAAAAATAATCTCAGATATATTCTCTATGTAAATTTACAAAAAGTACACTGTAAACATACGAGACATCTTTTAAAAATCTAATACATTTTGTAGATAAGTAAACTATTTTCTATTTTTTAAACATTAAACGATTCACAAAATTAGTACTTATTAATTATAAAATGGAGACATTTAAGGAGTTCTTTTAAAAGTTTTAAATGGGGAAAACTTATTCATCATTTCTAAAATTTACATGGGATTTCCTATGTCCAGGTCGGCGACGCAACAGACTGTACAAGACACTACTTTATGAACTTAACCAGATTTTATGATCTGCTCAACACGCGAAAATTTGTCTACTGTATATTACAGCTTATTAAGTACCAGGTGGTCATATTCGCATTTTATTTGGTTACCCGAGTGTCACCTGCTGGACCTTTGCTCGTGCGCATGCCAGCAGGCGGAGCACAAGTCTTGATAATTTATTTAAACGAAGCGCCAATAGCACTCAGAACGCGACTTTGTCGAAGCAATTGTTGATACCCCTGTATACGTGAAACGCAGCAATTAAATTTTTCAGTAAAGTTTATTTCTCTGGATTAAAAATCAATACAAGAATTAATTCTGAAAAGCAATATACAGGGTGTTGGCAATTTTTTTATTATAGCATGCATATTTAAATATCTTTAAATATCTCAAAAACCATTGCTTGTAGATATATTTAACCCTTATAATATATCCAAGGGTCCAAATATGAAATAAAATACCTGGTGTTTCATAAAAAAAAAATTATAGCTTTGGTTGGATCTTAGTTCTGACATTTGAAAATAATTTTAAATTATGCACATTGCCTTCCCACATATACCCATAAAATATTTTGTTTCTACATCTTTCCGTTTTCGTATAATCAGCCGTGGCGAATGAGGTGTAAAATTAAAGTGAGATTTCTCTAATTTTTTTATTATTTACTAATAATACAATCGATGACGAAGTTGTTTATACAAATGTATTTAACAGAAAGAGTCTCTAATTTGATTTTTAAAGTTTTTAGCGTTTCAGTGGCGATATGTTCAGAAATTTTTAGCAATCATAACTTTAAATTTTTATTTAATGACAATAATTACAATACGTAGTGTACTTGACTTATCCTCGAATGAAACAATGGATTTTTAGAATTGCATATCGTTGTTATAATTACATACTGCTTTACACTTACCACTTATTGCTTGTTCTCCCTTTGAAATAGTCTCATTGGTCGTCTCCTTCACTCCTTCCACGAACTTTTTACCCGACTCGACCAGGGGTGCACTACTAGCACACCCCATTATTACTAACAATAAAAAACACGAATACTTTCAAAAATATCAGAAAGTAACTTTAATACAACACTACAAAAAAAAATAATTCTCTTTCACGAAAAATTCAATAAGCAAATAAAGTTGAACTTTCTCTCTGTCCTTTGTTTGGACAAACTCGGAAAAATTACTGCGCCTTAGTATCGGAGGGGGTGTTTTTTATATGGGGAATAGTTTAGTAATCGTAGGGGGGCCGAGTTTGGCGCCGTGGTAGGGTTAAGACTGACTGACCACCGGCCAGACGTTCGTGTTGTGGCTTTGCGACGCCTGTTGTGAAGGGCTGTTATAGTCCGGGATATTCAGAAATAAAAAAGAGGCCTCCTTCTTTATAACATTTTAAATACGTCTCGATAATGTACAGAGTGTCTTATTTTGGTGGTAAAATAGGGTTATCCTGCTGATTAACTTAATTTTAAACTTGTTTTGTATTTGTTTTAAACATCTATCTAAAACTGATAACCATTTATTTAAAACACTGTTTAAAATTTTGCTAAGTGCAAACCTAAAGTATGGCATCATCATTTTCAGCTTATTCAACCATTTCCAGTTATGGTGTAGCCTCCCTCACATATGAGAGAGGGTGGAACGAGGGTGGCTCATTAGCATATTTGAAAAACGCATTTTTTACGAATAATTTGATACCACACACTTGGTTAGTTGGCTTATTTCGAGTCAAATTGTCGTTATACACACATGTTATAACCGCATATTATAATTTCAAATAAACCATATGCGAAAATGTCAAAAGTTAACATATGATATGTCATTCTATGTAGAGTGTCATTTTCTATCGAATAAAGTAAAAAAATTGGCGCCGGGAGGCACGTATAGCCGCTCATACTAAAATATGTTAATATCTCGAAAACTGCGACTTTGACTAATTTTGATGTTATTACAAATATTGTTGTAAATATTATTCCTAATCTTAATTTGAAAACCGCGTTTCGCTAGCTACTGTAATTTTGGAGTTGGACCAAACCCCCTCCCATACCCCCTTATCAACCCCCCACCCCCACCAAAAACTAATGGTCAGATTCTCGGGTGCCACAGTATTTTTGTGCCAAATCTGGTTAAAATCGGTTAAGCGGTTTTTGAGTTATCGTGTTACAGACAGCAGACGGACAGACGGACAGACAGACAGACACCATGAAAATATTATTATACTTTTTTTTGCCGATCTTAATAGCCTACCATACCTATTGGTATGGTCGGCTAAAAATATCGATGGTGTCATTTAAAAATCAAAAGTTGTAGTCATTTCCTGTGAAACAGGAAGTGACCGAAAACAATTGAATACGCCAATTAATCCTAATTTATGTCAACATACAAAATCTCATTTTTTTATCTCAAAAAATAAAAAATATTGTAGTGGTGTGAGCCACTTTTGAGACGCAGCCGGTATTTTATTATTTATTTATTCATATCTCTGTGACTAACAAAAAATATTTATTAAAATAATCCAATATACAGGGTGTTCTATTCAAAAAATCATCCAGATCCACTCACACTTCTTTGAGCCACCCTGTAGAAATTAAAATATTTTTCTGAAATACATCCTAGTAAATACATACCATATGATAAAAAAAAGACGGCGTCCAGTTGGCTGGGAAATGACGATCGATGACATTTCCTATACAGGGTCGAAACGAAACATAGAAAATGTTCCGCAAGGCATAACGGCCAGGGTATTTTTTTTTTCAAAAAATCCAAAAACACGTCAATTTTGTTTGTGAGGGGGACAACTTTTGCCCCAAAAATGATTGCAAAATCTTCAACCCTTTAAGCGGGGGTGTCATCCCCCAACTTTTTCAAATGGGAAGGGGGTCAAGTGGCACCGCAATGGAAAGAGCTTTGTATTCTCTATATTTTCCCGCTCTGTTTTTGAAAATCGGTCGAGTCATTGAGAAAATATGAAGGATTGAAATTTGAAAAGTTTATTTAAACATTTATCAGAGTAAATGATAAGGATAAATTCCTTCGACCAATTTGAGGTTTTTTCTTATTATTTCTAGATGTTTACGCATTTTTTCACTTGCCACAAGGTTGAACGATCAGGTGCGGTGGTTCCTAGATAGCTGTTTTGTGATTTGTGCGTTGAACATAGATAAAAGACTTATATTATTAAATAGATAGGCAACTTATAATACATTTCAATTTTATTATACAAGGGCGCCTCTGGTAGATGGAGGAAGAAATACTATTGGAAGAGAGGGGTGCGGTGAAGGGGGGTTGTTTTAGTTAATTTAAAATAAATTTAGACATACATGTAAGAACACTTTGTGTGCTTTTAATTAGGTCGAACATATTATAAACGATAAATCAACTGAATTAAAAGCATACAAAGTGTTCTTATATGTCGGATATTAATTAAAAAATATATTAAAAATACTAGAAATGGTATATATTAAGTTGTTACAGTTATAATTTAATCTTTGGCGGTTTTCAGCAAATAGCAGGCAGTTTTACATAATTTTCCTCCCTTTGAAGTGAATTGGAAACGGCTAGGTATATAATTTTGGTGTGGGCAAGATTCCCAGTTTGTTTCCGTTTGGGACCTGAAATAATAAAAACAAATTAAATCAGATGTAATCATCTGCTGATCATGCTAATATAAAACGCGCGTCCTTAATTCCTTACATGCACCGTAAAAAAAATTAAAAAACTGCTCTGCAAGTAGCATTTATTAGCAGTACTAATTTAAAAAATCTATAACTGTAAATAGATATGTTTAATTTACTTACCATTGTATCCTTCGGAAACCAGGTGTACAACAATTAAACTCCATGATAAAAAATAATTATGAGTTATTACAAAACACAAATTGTCCCACCATTTTTAAAAAAACATTGTCTAAAACAGACTACTGGCAAAAAATCTGAAGGAATTTCATTTTACAATAATTCGACAAATCAAAACGAAATCAAACCGTAAAATCACAACAAAAGCGTCTCTGAGTGACAGTTAAAAATCAAATTTTATTATTGTCAGATATTGACATTTGCATTGTTAATATTGACAGTTTTAATATTTTGCGCCTCTGCATCTTGGAGGAAAAACTATTTTTAATGAACTGTCATTTCCATTTAAGTTTCCCAGCCATGTGCGTTGAAGTTCTTCTCAATATCGTTAAACTGACCCACAATAGAATTTCCAAAAATACCAGCCCACACATTCAATTTCTGAGGGTTTTGTGTGTGCACCTCGTGAAAAACCTTGGGGTTGTCCTTAGCCCAGTACCGACAGTTGTGCCGATTAACTACACCGTTCAAAAAGAAAGTACACTCAACCGAAAAACACGCATTAAATAGAAAATTATTATCATTCGCCACTCGTTCACTCATAGCTTCACAAAATTGCAAGCGACGATCAAAATCGTCTTCGTTGAGTTCTTGTCCCAACTGAATTTTGTACGGGTGGAACTTGTGTTTTTTTTAATATCCTTTGGACACTTGTACGGTAAACGCCGGGCTTATTGGCTAATTTTCTTGTACTCAGCGTACTATCCATGGCAACTTGGCCCAATACGAATACCTCCATAGCTTCATTTACTACAGGATTTTTCCTCTGCCTCTTTTTATTCATAACGGAACCAGTTTCGCGAAATTTTGCTACTAACTCGCGAACAATTTTGCCATAAAGGTGTTTGTTAGGATGGCGTTCATGGAGTATCTGCGCAACCCGATTGCCACATTCATTATTTTAAAAATAAAGTTCGATTATTTCTACTTTTTCTGCAAGTGAGTACACCATAATTGTTAAAAAGTTTAACGATATTGAGAAGAACTTCAACGCATAAGTCACAGAACAGCTATCTAGCAACTACCGCACCTGATCGTTCAACCTTGTGGCAAGTGAAAAAATACGTAAACATCTAGAAATAATAAGAAAAAACAGCAAATTGGTCGAAGGAATTTATCCTTATCATTTACTCTGATAAATGTTTAAAAACTTTTCAAATTTCAATCCTTCATATTTTCTCAATGACTTGATCGATTTTCAAAAACGAAGCGGGAAAGTATAGAGAATAGAAAGCCCTTTTCATTGCGGTACCACTTGACCCCCCTTTCCATTAAAAAAAAATTGGGGGATGACACCCCCGCTTAGATGGTTGAAGATTTTGCAATCATTTTTGGGGCAAAAGTTGTCTCCCTCACAAACAAAATTGACGTGTTTTTGAATTTTCTGAAAAAACATTATCCTGGCCGTTATGCCTTGCGGAACGTTTTCGATGGGCCACACTGTATAAAATGACAGCGATCTTCATTTCATAGCCATCGCTGACGCTGTTTTTTTTCAACCATACGGTACTTGGTTACACTTAAAGGTTTGCACTTAAACAAAATTCAAAAGTTTTTTATTCTAATGCCCTACACACTTTTGCATAATCCTGTATAATAGTACCTATGGGTCTATTTTAATAAACAACGACAAAAATCATAATTTTCAATTTAAACATGTTGTAATGATTTTGTTAGCGATCACTAGATGGCGTTCTTTCGAAATTATCTAAATTAATGATGAGTAAAGCTTCATTCAGAATCTCGCAATTAGTGGTTTCAATTACACTTTATACTATTTTATTTACAATCATTCACAATGTCCACAAAACATAATTAAAATTAATAGACTATCCTAGCAACAGCTTGATGTGGTCAGTTGAATCCATAGAGAGAGCCTAATATTTAACTTATAAAACAATCAACTTATGTTTTCTAACTACAATTTCTCTTGACGGAAGATAATCAAATGCCAAAATGTCATTTCTCGCAGATTTTGTATAATTAATTAATTTACTAATTAAAGTATAATTAGTGGAATTTAAAAGTTTGTTAACTTTTTCTACCGATTGAAAATGAATGCCTCTAATTTTGATGTCCTGAATGCTTACATTGAAATTAGAGGAACAAACTTCTACGGCTAATTGAAACTACTAATTTATTCCACTGATTGCGAGGTTCTGAATGAAACTTATAACTAGTTTTAATTTTTAATCATCAGCAGGTTGTCGTCAAATAGTGTTCTATTTTGCTGTTGTAACACTAAAGGTCGATTTATAAACTGAAAACGTTGCGGTTCGACGCCCGACGTTACGGTCGGTAAAAAGTTTGTTTATACGCAGGATGTTTTGTTGATTATAAATTTTTCGGTTGTTGTTGCGGTTGACGTTTTACGTCAAAAATTAACCAATTTTTAACTTCGACAGG